AGACTTTCACATCATTATTAATGCAGGTGTGTGTGTGTGTATTGTATACTATCCTTTAAATCTATATTTCAGTAGTGTGTGTCTGTGTCCACACAACTGAGTTAGCATTGCAGGGGACATTGCATTTCAAATTAACTGATTTTGTATACTTCAACCCATACATTTTCTTACAGAGATTACTTGATTTTAAAAAACCCCAAGAATTCCCATTAAAATTATCATTCATTCTTAAAAATCAAAAAAACAAAAAGCAATGTCTCAGATGTCTGGGTCACTGAGCCCAGAGCAGTGAGGCTGCTAGGCAAGCTAAAGGAGACTTCACTTTTTATTTCTGGCCCCATATGGTGCCCTGTTTCCCAGATGCTTTTTTTTCTTTTGAGCTCATCCATCCAAGTGCTCCCTATGACCAGACATGAGCATTTTACAAGGAAATGAGTTATAGATCATACTGACCAGCACAGTTCTACTCTGTCAACCAGCTCTCTATACTGGGATCTTTAATCTCCACTCCCTCTCAACCCTGGCCTCGTACACTTCTACAGTCTGCTGTTACTGTTACAGTTTTATACATGGGCAGACAAATGTGTGCTGAGCAAAGATCAAGAGCCAGTGTGTCCTCGGGAATAGTGAGGGACCCGCTCTCCCTGAAGGGGGTCTCCTCTGGAACATCTTTGAGAGCCATCCTCTCCATGTGGCTACCCTGTCTAGTCCCCTTGCCCCAATGGGAGGAGAAGCCAAAGCTCTCCTCCACGCAGGAGCAGCCTGATTTCTTGTGGCAATGTGTGAGGGTCCTGGCACCCTGTGTGTAAAATGCAATGCAGAGGAGATTCCTCACTGCCCACTACGGATACTGCCAAGCAACCGGTTGGCATAGTCCTTGTTCAGGCAAACTTCACATAGAAGCTAGAGATGTAGAACCCCAAGCTTTGACTGGGAGTATTTAAATAAAGATGCTTTAGTGCGATCCGGGCATAGACATAGGCAGGGATGTTTTTTTCTCCTCATTTACTCCCTATAGTTACAAAGTGAAAAAAGCAGCAGCTGATCTAGATTTCTTTGCCCCCCCCCCCCCGCAAAAAAACCCACCCCAAAACAAAAGCAGAAAAACCTCTAGCCTTTGGGCTGGCAGCGGAAGAAAGGCCAGTCTTTAAACGTCCTTCTTCAAATAAAGGTGAAGACCAGAGGAGGGGTTGTAACAGAGCATCCTTGCCGCGTTTCTGGGGGCTGGATGGCATGCAATTTCCAAAGCGTGGCACTTTCAAGGACTTCGCCTGTTTCTTTCTAGCTGCAGTTGATTTGGGACTGCTGAGACGCCCAGGGTGCTGGAGGCGGCTGTGCAGCTAGGACAGATCGGAGGGGGTAGGTCCCACAGACAGTCACTTGCTGACTGATGCTAGAACAGGGCGTTTCAGGACGGAAAGGCACCCATCAGCACCCCCCCCTCCCCCATCCAGCCCCTTCCCTGGGCACAGAAGTGACCCTAAAGTCCATGCCTCTACAACGATCGCTTTCTCCCCTTCCTTCCCTTGGGGTTGGTGAGCATCGTCCCAGTGAGCTTCCCTCCACGTGTCTTTATAGGAAGGAAGAGGAAGGCGGCCCCCCATGCCGCGGCCACCCGCACGCAGCCCTGGCAGCGCCGTGCAATGCGGGGCGAGGTGGGACTCTCTCACTTGAGCACCAAGCTGCTGAGATGAATGATTGTGTTACCGGCATCCTCGTGCGCTACCGTGTCTTACTCTCCTGCTTGCTTATTTTGGGCGCTGCCCCCGCCTCCTCCCAACCTGCCCTCACCAAGGGTTTATCTCCCTCACGGCGAGGTAGTACTTGGATGACCCACTTGCCCCTCTCCTTTCCCACCCCACTCAGGGAGGAGCTGCCCCTCGAAGCAATGCAACTTTTGAAATCCCAGCTGGCAGCAAAGCAGCAGGGCAAGGTAACTACCGTCCTTCAGAACAGCCCCCCAAATCCTGCGCCTTTCTGGTCCCCCAAAGAGCTGGAAGTCTCCTAGGGAGTAATATTTCCAATACCCCACGTTTCTCCCGCTCTGTAATTGTAACATCCACTGTCTTGGGGGATCCTATATCTGCTGTGGGGAAAACAAGCTCTGCCCCTTTGGGAACATAGGGAAGGTCCACTAAGGTGAGCTGAGACCATCCGTCCTGGTCACGATGGGTGACAAAAGCAAAAAGCCAAGAAGGAGAAGAAAGCAGCGCTTTGTCCAGAGAGCTCTGGGCAGCTGCCTGGGGCTGTCGGGGTGTCGCTCCTTTCCCTGAGAGATCTCCCCAGCTGCATTTTACTCACCACGTTTCCAAAAAGCCAAGGGATAGAGCAAGCTTTGGTATTTAAATCACCCCACCTCTAGCAAGAAGAGCAAGAAGAGCAAGGCATAGAGGCTAAGCAGCCAACTCCTACCGGCCGCGCAGATCCCGGCTTTGGGCAAGGAGGCAAACGGCCTCAGCCCGGGCCAGGGCACAGCCTCAGCTAGGGGGAAATGTTCCAGCTCTTTTGTCAGGTACCCGGTTATAGCCGTGATGGTCTGGAGGCAAAAGGAATCATAGCTCGTGGTAGAGGTGATCTCTTTTATTAGAAAATATTTTGTTTTGCATTTCTTTATTTTTTATGGGTTTTGTTTTTGTTTTTGCAAAAAGCTAGTTAGTCTAGTAAAAGATATCCCCTCAACCACGAATTCTCCTTCCTAGCTCTTGGGCACTCTGCACCCGTTTAGGATCTGGCCCCTACTCCTCTCTGGGGCCGGGGCTTCATATTGGTAAAGGACGAAGATTGAAGGGGGGTGGGAATGATAGTAATAGTAACCACTGACAGGTTTTTATTTTTTTTTAAAAAGAATGATTTCTCCCTTTTCCTCTGTGTCTCCTGTTTGGGCGGGGATAGGCCTGATTTTGCCATACTTTCTTTTGCCTTCTCACCCTCTCCGCAGGGGGAATGGACTCTGTGCATCCTTGACTGCAGTTGTACCGCTCCTTGGCTCTCGGCGAGGTATCCGGAAAGACTGGGATCCAGCAAGCGAGGGGCCTGATCTAGCAGAGCTGGCGGAAAGACCTGCGGTCTCCTCCCAGGGGGACCCGACCGACCCGGGGAGCCACAGCTCTTTACACGCAGGGCGGTCGGTCCCGTGGAAGGCAGGTCCAGGGAGGCTGCCTGGGGGATTAGATGGCTGGACTTTTTGGTCCTTTCTCTGCCCTGGATAAAGGAGGGTGATCCCTTCCCATCCTGAAATGCCCTGTTCTGCCATCAGCCAGCAAGTGGCTGGCAGTGCGACCCCCTCGGAGCTGCACAGCCGCCCCCAGCACCCGAGGATTTTCATCCGGCCCAAGGCAAGCGATAGAAAGAAAGAAAGAGGAAACCGCTCCGTCCCGGGAAGCAGCTTGGCTGGGGAGGGGCCCAAAGGGTTAAAATGGCAAAGCAAGAGCAAGGACAAAAAGCAGGATCGGTGAGCGAACCCGGCTGCCCCAGAGGCAGAGCTGAGCCGCAGCCCCCACCACGTGCCAGGATGCGGCTGTCAGGGCTATGGACCTAGGCGGGGGCTTTGTGTCCCAGGCCGGGCGGGCTGCATGTGCCCCCAGGGAGCGGATCTAAGGAGTCCCCCTCCTGTCCCCCGCGCCCATGACATCACCCTGACAGCCCCGGCTGCCCACGCCACCCCGGGCTCCCTGGGAAAGCCGGGAGGTGCGAGGGGAGGCGCCCGGCGCCGCAGCGGGCCCAGGGCCGCCTCCCCCTCCCCCTCCCGCCGCCGGCCCGGGCCGCGCTGCGCCCAGCCCCGA